TTATAGCGCGGAGCATGAAGTGATATGACGAGAACGTGTTTTTTTGTGTGATGGGCGGGACAAAGATGTCCCCCACCCTGAAGCCACTAGTTTCAGCCTGCCGGGGTCCAGCACCACGGGACCGCTCGCAACTGTCGTGGCGGCGGTGTGCCCATTCTCGTCCGTGAGGGGCCACAGGCGGTAGCAGGACCGGCCTCCATCGCTGGAATCGAGCTGGCGCAGGCGACCATCCGTCCAGCGGCGGGAAGTAACATGATGGCGTCATCAGCATGCCTCCTTTCTGTGCAAAGAGCACGACGGCGGAGGAATTGGATGGGCAGCTCTGCGCGGACGGGCCACAGCTAATGGGCGCAGACGTCGAGGCACACACGGAGGCTTGGGACCGCAACATCCCATCAGACTCCCGTGGCGATACCATTGCGCGGCGGTGCATTGAGAATGTACTCCAGGTCGTCAACAGCGGAGAGCGCACGAGGTACACCAAGCGACAGGGCAGCACAGCACCCGACACCGCCCTTTCGAAGGACTGTGTAGTCACCCATTGCCAGAACTGCTCTCACTGGACAGCGATCACTGCATCATCCTCCTTGTTTTCCGATCGGGGACGACGACACACTCACCGTGGTGCTGGGGCCTAACCGGAAATTATTAGCATGGAAGAAGGCGGATTGGAATAAGCCCAGCGAGGTATTCAGCCAGCTCCGCAGAAACACATGTGAATTAACCAAAATGGACAGCACAGAAAAGCGCGTTGCAATAGGAATGCGGAGAGCCACCAAGGCAACGGTCCCGGCATGGAATCAGCAGCCGTCCCCATTCTGGAACTCATGGCTGGCGAAATTTTACCGCACCATTGCCACCGCATCTGACGCAGAAGGCAGTCAGCGGCTGGACCTCCGTCGCAGAGAAGCGCTGCGCGAAGCATCCAAAAGCCGCTGGCGCACGCTCCGCTCCGAGCTCGAAAGCACCGACGGCAACAGCCGGCAGGTAGTACGCCGTGTGTGCGCCTCCCGTTCCTCGAGCACGCCAGCCGGGAAATTCGATGGCCCAATGCTCAGCAGACACCCGAAGGTCAGCCACCTCATGAAGCGGTAGGCGGCGAAAGCAACACGGCGCCCAAAGCCCCACCCTCCGC